AAGGTATCCATTGTGGCAGAGCAGGATGGGAAGACATGAGGATCTGGTGGGTGAGGGAGTTTGTTGTTAATTTTATTTTTCTACCATTTCACCCTTTTCCAGCACTGTGAAGTGGGTGCATATGTGACATCCACAGCTTTGATTGAAATTGTTTTATCACCCTGTGATCTAGTAGTAAATAGTCTCTAAACAAAAAAACAACCAAACAAAAAAACCCAGGACCAGTTTTATGAAAAAGATAAAATCATTTTAGTCTTTAGTCTTCATTTGTTGAAGTGTTTTTTTTTTGCATATAATGTACTACAACACATTTTCAAAGTATCTGCATGTCTATCATTCTTCTTGCTTCTTCTATGGCTTTTTGTCTGCTGAGGGCAATAGAAGAAGAGGGTGTTTGTCCTTTTCCTCTTTGAGTTTTCTTCTCTTTCTTTTCACTTTTGTCACATACTTTCTTTTCCAAATTTTGAGATACTGCTGTTTGTGCAGGGGCAGTATAAGGAGGAGTTTGGGAAACATTATTTCCCATTAATTTCCCCCACCTGGAGTATTATGTCCTGCTCAGGGTTCTCAGCACAAGAAGAACATGGACCTGTTGGACCGAGCCCAGGGGAGGGCCATGAGGATTATTAGAGGGCTGGAACACCTTTCCTATGAGGGAAGATTGAGAGAGTTGGGTTTCTTTCAGCCTAGAGAAGGCTCTGGAGTGACCTTATTGTGGCCTTCCAGTACCTAAAGGGGCTACAAGAGAGCTGGAGACTTTTTGCAAGGGCATGGAGCGATAGCACAAGAGGGAATGGCTTTGAACTGAAAGAAAGTAGGTTTAGATTAAATACTAGGAAGAAATTATTTACCTTTAGGGTGGTGAGGCACTGAAACAGGTTGCCCAGAGAAGCTGTGGATGCCCCGTTCCTGGAAGTGTTCAAGGCCAGGCTGGGTGGGGCTGGTTTAGTGGAAGGTGACCCTGCCCATGGCAGCTGAGTTGGAGCTAGGTGGTTTTTAGGTCCCTCCCAACCCAAATCATTCTATGGTTCATAAAGAAAAAAAGCAAACAAACCCAACCCACGAAGAAAACTCCAAGTCATAAATATTTCCAGTGTCAAACCCCTAACCCTACCCTGTGGCATTCTGCTTTGCTCAGTGGCTTACTTCCTTGTGTGTACAGCACCATAAAACTGAGATTAGTGTCATTTAAATTCCTTTAGTTTTCAACCCAATAACACTAGGAAAGATGGTGATTAGAACCAGGAACTCACTTTTTCTGAACCTGGGAGTGTTTGTAACAGAGACCTTGTGCTGGTTTGAAAGCAAACCAGTGAGAAACTCCAAGTCACAAATACAATTTAATAAGAAAAAAACCAAACAATAAATGCAACAGTACAAAAAGAAACCACTGACAGAGTCAGAAAGCAACGTGACACCCTGTCAGTCAGGGTGTTGGTAGTAGTCTGATTAAATGGTGGCTGCAGTTCTCTTGGAGTGATGAGTCTGTTGGAGCAATGATCCTGTAGAACTGGTCTTCACCTGAAGGTCCAGTGGCTAGCTCTTGCCCTCTGGGAATCCAGTAGACAAAGGGCCCTGTGTTGGTCCAAACCCCAGCTTATATCCATGTGGGAATGCTTGGCTCCCCTCCTTGGGGTGAAGCATTTCACGATGTAATTCTATGGGCCCCTGCATGGGTCCCTGACAGCCCATTAAACAGAGACAGCCCCCTGAGGGAGCCATCAGATATGAGTAGGAGATAACTATCTCTGCCCCACCTGCTTTAACAGCTTGTGGAGACAATAATAGCATACATACCATTGGTTACACCCTACATTGTAACCTAGGACAGACCCTTTGCCAAGCTTTTGTATCAATATATCCCACCATATATCACCTTTTGAGTTTCCTCAAGGCCATGAAAAGCCCCACTGCCAGCTTTGGTGCTCTGCAGAGAGTATGTGGATGACTCCGGAGTTCACTGTTGCCTGTATCACTCTACAACATAGCTAAGCTACACTCAGATTCAGTCTTTGTGGTGCCCTCGTGGCTCATATATTTGACCAAAGGGCTTTTCTGAGTCTGCAGGTGTGGAAAAATGTGGGAATGTTTAGTTTATGTAATGGTGTCATTATATATAATTTACTTTTTTTCAGAAACACAACTAGATAATTTCACGTGTAAAACATACTAGCAAGCTGAGAAGAATGAATATTGCTCAGTGGCTGCATAAATCCATCCTGTTCTTGGCTGGTTTAGTCCCTCTTTCAAGCATTCCTCATGCTGGTGTGCTCATTCTCCCTTCGGTTACCAGACAGTGGACACTGTGGTTCAGGAGTGGAACGGAGCCTTCCCTTTTTCAGCAGCACCGAACCGCAGGCTGTGGTCACTGCAACACACAAAGCCTTGTAGTAAAGGTGTGATTTGCCAGTACAGAGAAGTGACTTCACATCTAGCTGCTGCTAGAAAGTGAGGTCCTACTTCTCTCCTCCAAACCCAAAATGAAAATGTCAATTGCTCTGCTTTCAGCCTCTGCAGAGAAGCAAAAGAATGAACCATGTGGGGAAAAAAAAGCCAAAAATGCCAACCATGTATTTTAATGCTAGCTGTGATCTGACACACCATGAGCTCAGCCAAGCACCCATGAAAGAGATGCAGTATGAGGATTTAGCTGGAGCTAGTGTACAGGCTGCCTGTTTAGGCAGGGATGAACTGTTTCCCTTCCCAGCTCACCATCTCCTCCTGTAACTTCCTATGTGACAGAGCAGGGATGCCTGAAGCATGCCACAGCAAATTAATGACAATCCTATTATTTCCTCCTGCAGTAGTAGAGCTTTCTGGCATGCTAGTCAATAAAGTTGTCTGAGAATATATTACAGAGTGAACCTGCAGTGTGAAAATAAACAAAAATATTGCCACTGCAGCTCTGTCTGAGCCTTCTTGCCCTGCTATACCAGATCTGCATCCCTGTGGCTGCTCAAATGGCTACAAAGGTGAGAAGAGGGAAGAGAATTTTCAAAAAACCTGCTTAAATGCCACCTCTACCACCTGGATTTCTCCTATCAAAGCCTTTTGGAAAACTGTTGTTGTTTATTACAGGTGCTTTACAGGTGAGCAAAAACATAAACTGCAATTGGCAGAAGAATTCTACAGCTTAAGTGTCACACAAAACTTTGATACATTTTTATTACTGTGATTCAGCTGGCTTCTGGAGGATAAGGACAAACAAGAACCAAAGTTCTAAGGTTTTATCAAGATGCTTGTGCCTCAATGGACCTTGGAACCAGAGCAATGAGATGGCTGGGTGGAGGAAAATCAAATAATTAAAATATGTAATGACTTTTGTTCCCTGAGCATAATATTGGCCAATTCTCAGTTCTGTTGACCTCCGTGCAAGCTATAAATGGAGGCAGGTGAGACACCTTTCATAAACAGCAGCCCTGGACTGGAGGAAGTGCCACGAGCTCTCCCATTCCCTGAAGCTGACATCAAGGTGAGAGGCACAATTTTTACATGAAAATTGTAATGGCTTTTTGGGCAGCTGCTGTGAAATGTAGTTGAAGAGAAAGAGGTTTAAGTGCTGGCATGGGAGCTGCAGCATGTGTGTGAGGATCTGCTGTTTGTGCCTGCAGAGACCTAACTAATTTTTCAGGTGATAAGAAGACACCTGTGGGATAAACATAGCATACCATGGGAGAGGGTGGAGAGGGCCATGGCTACATAATTCTGAGAGGTGAAAGCAAAAATATTTTACAAATTTATCTTGGTCATGGTATCTTTATATTGTATCAGCAAAATTAACTGGGTTATTTTTATTACTTTTTTTAGACGTAGAAGGTAATTGTATTAGTACTTAATCAACAAGTTAAAGTTCAGATTCTGTCAGCCTCCATAAATTCTATTATAATTGTGAAAAAGTACTAAAGTGTTTTTAACCACATAGTGTGATTTTATACTTTTAAAGAAATAAGTGTTATGTGTTTGTGGTTTTTTTTTTATTACTGATTATGATGCACATCTTGCAGAATTAGTCTGGCTTTTATTCTTACTGGGCATTTCTGATCTTCTCCCATCCCTTCTCAGAATCAGCTAAAGAAACTGCATTTTTGTCTCAGATATATTTGCCCTGAAATCTAAATCTTTGCTTCAATGCCTGTTACATGATTTAGAAAGGGAGCTGTTACCATGGCTGTTCCTGCAGCTGTTACTAATAAACACTACAGTTCTTTAACTGAATCCAGATGACTCTGTGGAATTAGATATGCATAACAGTGTAAGAAAACACTTTGTAATAGTGTTAGAAAAAGGCATTTACAGCATGAAATTTAGTCTGATTCTAAGAGCTGATGCCTAGAACTTGATTGCATCTCAGGTCATGTCAAGAACAGGAATCTCTTGATTTCAACTAAATTTCCTATCAAAAGAGAACAAGGTATTTCAGTGAGTTTAATAGTTAAGTTCTGCCCTCAAAAGAAGAGTTTTTTTTAACATATTTGAAGTGCAAAATGCACATTCCTTTAGAAATTAGTTGCACATCTCTCTATTTTTAAATTGTATTTTATGTGGATCATGAAACCTGGTCCAAACAATGAGCACCAATTACTAAAAGGATTCTCAATTGCAGTGTCAATTATGAACTGAAAGAGTGATCATCGATATATTTAATTTCATTGTTATTCAGGGTATACTAAATAAGTTTTTAAACTAAATGCTCAGATGTCCCTTGCACATATACATAAACCAATATATGCAAGTAAACAAAACTGGACAGTTGTGTACATATCTCATCTGAATTCTTTCCCCCAAATTCAAACTTCTATGACATGCCCTCACTCTTTTCAGCTGCTGCTGTGTTTATCCTCTGCTAAAGATGTTTTATTTATTTTTTTTCCTTTTGTTCCCCCCTGGTTTCCAGAATTTTGTATCTTTGTACAATCATTGCTTTTTTTCTGGTTTTGTTTTCTGCAGGCTGTCATCCAACTCCTACGGCAGAAAGTCCACCCTCCAGAAGTCCTACTGAGATGGGAAAAATCATCGTTTATGAGCATGCCAACTTTCAGGGTTTGTCCAGAGAATTCACCACTAACATTGCCAATCTAAAAGATGCAGATTGGAATGATTGTATCTCCTCAGTGAGAGTAATTGGCCAGCCTTGGGTGGCTTATCAGCACCAAAACTATACAGGCCAGTTAGTGGTATTTGAGGAGGGGGATCATGACTTTGTTGGTAAGAAGATGAATGACAGGATCAGTTCTCTGCAGGTGATCACTGAAAATCTGCACAATCCCCAGATCACCCTCTACGAACATGCCAATTACCAAGGGAAGAGCAGGGTAATAACAGAAGCAACCAGTCTGGCTAGGGGACATGATAACGACACCATATCTTCTCACCAAGTCCAGAGAGGTGTCTGGCTGTTGTGTGAACATGGTGATGGAAGTGGTTTTCAATACATTGCACGAGAACATGAACACCTTCCAAACTACAAGGCAATCAAATTCAATGACAAGCTTTCATTCCTGCGTCCCCTTCTCCCTGGTCTTGGCCCTGGCCATGGTCACAGCCACGGCCACGGCCATGGCTGTTAGGCTGCAAATCCTGCAATACTGAGGGAAGATGCATCCCCAGCAAGAAATTCAAGACCTAGATCTCTGCTTCTGCTTGTTTTGCTCTTTTCCTCTGTGTCACTGGAACACTGAACAAGAGAGCTCTCTTCCATGCTGTGCTGCAGATCTGTACTTCCCAATCCTGCCTTGAACTCTTCTCCTGCCCCACAAATGCAAGAATTATTGTACTTGATCATATTAAAGAGACTCCAATCTAAGAGACATGCCAGGGGTGTGCAAGGTATTGCACCCACAGCTGGCATTCCCATGTTCTCTGCTATGGGATGTGAAAGCATTGCATGTTGCCTCTGTTGCTAAATGCATAAACAAAATGTGAGTATTGAACCAGCCTCACTTCCTTTGTAATTTGTTTTACAAAGCCCTTGCAGATCCATAGGCTCTGCTACTTTCTGTAATCCATTCTTTGTTGGTGTCATTAAAGAATCTCTTGGAAGCAGCAGTGGGGCTGTTTTATGCACTGTTTAGCATCTTGCCCTTTCATGATGAGATGTCTCTGTGTATCCAGGAAATGGTTCATGCAGTCATTGACTACCAGTGAAGACTGAGATATATAACTCATGGACAACCTCAGCCTTCTCCTTATCTGTTGCCACCAGTTCTCCCTTCTCACTTATGGGAAGGTATACTCTCCTTGGCCCTTCTTTTCTGATGTATGTACTCACAAAATCCCTTGTCCTTCACATCCCTTGCCAAGTCCTGTTACACCTGTGCTATGGCTTTACTGACCATATCCCTATACATCCAGACCATGTCCCGGTACTCTCCCCAGGTCACCTGTCCCTGCTTCCACTGGCTGTGCATTTCCTTCTTAATGCTCAGTGTGAGGAGCAGGTCCTTGCTCAGCCATGCCAGATTCCAGCCTGCTTTACCTGATCTCCTGCACATGGAGATGGAGGGCTCTTGTGCTCTACAAAAAGTGTCCTTAAAGAGTTGTCAGCTCCAGCCTGCACCTCCGTCCCTAAGAACAGTTTTCCATGGAATCTCAGTCACCAACTCCCTAAACAGCAGGAAGTTCACCCTTTCAGAGTTCAGGGTCTGGACTTTGCTTCTCACCAGGCCCATGTTCTTTCAGATAACAAACTCACCCAGGGGGTGGTTGCCACAGCCCAGGCTGCCCCCGCTCTTAACCTCCCTACCGAGATCATTTGCATTGGGGAGCACCAGGTCCAGTAATGCTTCTCCCCTGGAAGATTTGTCCAATACCTGAACCAGAAAGTTGTCCTTGACACACTCCAGGAATCTCCTGGATTGCCTAGAGATAGCTGTATTTCTTTCCTAGCAGATGTCCATGTGGTTGAAATTCACCCATCAGGAATGAGAGCTTGTGAGCATGATGCTTCCCAGAGCTGAAGCAAGAGGCCTCATCAACAGGCTCTCCCTGGTCAGGCAGCCTGTTGTAGACTAATGATTGCATAGAATGGTTGGGACTGGGAGAAACATTAAGGATCATATAGCTCCAAGCCCCTGCCACAGGCAGGGACACCTTCCACTAGACCAGGTTGTATTAGTCGCATGCAATGTGGCCTTGAACACTTTCAGGGATGGAACATCCACAGCTTCTCTAGGCAACCTGTTAGAGTGCCTCACCACCCTCAGGGTAAAGAATTTCTTCCTAGTATTTCATCTAAACCTACTTTCTTTCAGTTTAAAGCCATTTCTCTTGTGCTATCACTGCATACCCTTGTGAAAAGCCCCTCTGGAGCTCTTTTGTAGCCCCTGTCAGGTACTGGAAGGCCTCAATAAGTTCACCCTGGAACTTTCTCTTCTCTGGGCTGACCAACCTCAGCTGTCTCAGCCTATCTCCGTAGGAGAGCTTGTCCATCGCCCTAATCATCTTCATGGCCCTCCTCTGTGCTTGCTCCAACAGATCTATGTCCTTCTTGTACTGAGGACCACAGACCTGGACACAGTACTCCAAGTGGAGTGCCATGAGAGTGGAGTAGTGTGGCAGAATTACCTCCCTTGACCTCCTGGCCACGCTGCTTTTGATACAACCCAGGATACAACTGGGTTTTTTGTGCTTCAAGCGCAGGTTGATGGGTTATGTCCAGCTTCTCATCCACCAGAACCCCCAAGTCCTTCCCAGCAGGGCTGCTCTTGATCCATTCATCCCTGAAGCTGTATCAATGCTGGGGGTTGTCGCAACACCTGGGTGCATCACCTTGCACTTAACCTTGTTAAATCTCATGGCATTTCCATGTGCCCACTTCTTGAGCTTGTTCAGGTCCCTCTGGATGGCACCCCAACCTTCAGGAGTGTCAACCACACTGCTCAGCTTGGTGTCATCTGTAAATTTGCTGAGGGTGCACTTGATCCCACTGTCTATGTCACAGATGTAATTGAATAACATGGGTCCCAGTATGGACCCCCAAGGGACACCATTTGTCACTGATATCCATTGGGATTCTGAGACATTGAACACTATCCACTGACCACCCAACCAATTCTTTATATAGTCTTCTACTGCCCTAAGTCATGTATATAGCATATATATACATAATTTATGTATAAAAATGTGATACAAATATAATTTATATAATGACATTATTTTTACATATAATCAAGCAGAAAAAAAATGATAAATTTTAACTGACCAATTTATTGCAATAAGGAAACCTGTCTGACTTTTTAGAAACCTTTATTTTCTTTATAAGACATAAGTTATCATTCTGAAATCAGTGTTTCAATCAGAATAGAAAGTCCCTTTCTTCTAAAATTGCCTCCACTGTAATTCTACATACTAATTTTTTTTTACCATTGTAACTGTCTCGAGAGTCACCATGTGGTATGTTCTACCACAGGCCAGACTTCATTGCTAGCTTTGGTAGCTCAGGGCAGTACAACACACCAAGCACTGCTAGGGGTTATCACTACTACAAATATGAGAGGAATCCTATTGGGCCTGTCTTTGTCCTTTACCAAATCCAGAAGCATCACAGAGCAAAGAGACAAACAGAGGATGAAAAATGCAAGCTGCAAGAAGTGGCAAACTACAGGAGAAGGATTGTTGAAGCATCTGTAGTTCAGCATTTTGCAAGCCGCAGAGCAGCCTGGTGAATGACCTACTGCTTATCATTCCTGCAGGACTGTGTCACTATATGTGTTGTGGTTTAAACTCAGCCAGCAACAAAGTACCACACAGCCACTCGCTCACTTCCCCTCACTACGATTAATAATTATAACAGAAAGGAGAGGGAGAGGGTGATAAAATCCAGGAAAGATGTGTGATGCACAATACAATTGCTCACCAGACACTGACCAATGACAAACCCATCCCTGAGTCACAATTGGCGTCCTGCTCCTGGGTAACTCACCCCAGTTTATACACTGAACAAGATGTTCTATGGTGTGGAATATCCCTTTGGCCAAATTGTGCCAGCTGTCCTGACCATGCTCCTTCCCAGCTTCTTCCGCACATCCTTGCTGGCAGAGCATGAGACACTGAAAAGTCTTTGAATTTGAGTAAGCACTGCTTAGCAACAAGTAAAACCTTAGTGTGTTATCAACAGTATTCTCATACTGAATCCAAAACACAGCAGCTGTACTAAGAAGATGAGCTCTGACCCAGTCAAAAGCAGAACAATATCCACCCCTTATTCCATACCACTTATGTCATGCCATGTCCTACATTTCTCAATACCCCATCACCTTTCCTACTCTTTGATAGATACACACACTAATATAATTCCTTTAGTTTATAGACTGTCTGTTGAGTTATTTTATTTCATGACCTTGGCCTCCATCTCTCAGTCTTTCAGGTGGGAAAGACGGTGTGTGGTGTTGGATTGTCACATGTTGGAGCCAGTTCTCATTCCATCACCACTACATTTGTCTGGTTTCATCCAAGTTCATCCTTCATTACTGTCGTAATCAAAGGGAAGCTGGGTTCTAATCACCAGATCTGACCTGGTGAAGACAGATGTTTTGAGGCACCCAGTGTGGTGCCTATCACCACAGAAGTGATAATACACAGTGTTCTATAGTAATTAGAATCATACAATTTAATTCATTGACTGTTCTCACCTAAAATCGAATCAATTCACCTTGTGGCACACATTAGAATTTGGCATCCTCCTGTATTATCCACGAAGGCAGGTTCTTGAACAAAAGCAATCCCACAGATCAGTTTGCCTTTGCCTGAGGCAGCAATAACCAAGATTGTTTTCCCCAGCATATTTTTTATGTGCACTACAGGAACTTTATTCCCTTTTACAGTATGTAGAAGTTTTGATTGGACAGGGCCAGACCAACTGGCAGATCCCCCAGTGCTGACTAGTGTATCCCAGTGTTTGAGGGTCCTACCACACATTTCTTTCAGTGTAGTCTTTAACAGGCCACTGCATCGTTCAGTTTCCCAGGGGCTGGTGAATGAGAGGGGATGTGATATACACACTCAATGCCCTGTTCTTTGGCCCAAGTGTCTTTGAGGTTGTTTTGGAAATGAGTCCAATTGTCTGACTCAGCTCTTTCAGGAGCACCATGTCACCATAAAACTGGCTTCTTAAGGCCCAGAAGAGTGTTCCTAGCAGTGGCATATCCAAACAGAATATGTTTCCAACCATCTGGTGTTTGCTTCCATCATTGTAACCACACAGTGCTTGCCTTGACAGGTTTGTGGCCCTGTGATATAGTCAATCTGCCATGCCTCTCCATATTTATATTTCAGCCATCGTCCTCTGTACCAAACTGTAACTGCTTGGCTTGCTTAATTGCAGTGCATTTGTCACAGTCATGGATACCCTGTGTGACAGTACCCATGGTTGAGTCCATCACCCAGTCATGAGCCCTGCTGGTCAAATGTTGCTCCTTGATGTCATTGTGTTTAATGTCAGCCTACAGCAGCATCTGCTCTGCAGTTGTAAGCACAACTACATATTTCCTTACTCAGGAGTTCTGGTGTATGAAAACCTGTCTTGTAGCCTCTGCCTCTTTCCTTTACCTCAGAGGATTGCACCCAGTGCATGGTCAGACTGCCTACACCCAAGGTAGATCTACCACCACTGAGCTTGTGAGTGTTGGTTTTGCTTGCTCCAAGAACCACTAAATATGCTCTGAGTTCTTGTTGCAAGCTTTCTCACATCTGGCAGTAAGGGAGGGTACACTTTCTTCTGGGGTGGTTCAGCACCTGGAGAGGCTGGACAATTTTCAGTCGTGGAGACTTTCGGGAGTCACCTGGGCAAGATGCTGAGGAGCTCCACATAGGTTTGGATTCAGTCCAACTATAAGGAAGGGGGGGCTGTACTCAATGCCTTCAGAGGTTCCTTCCCACCTATATCGTAAGCTAAACACTCCCTCATTTCCTTTCACCGCCAGTGCAGTTTGTTCATTTTTTTTACATGGTTGTTATATAATCCATATTCTCATGAATTCTGAATTCAGAAAGGCAAAATGAGTCTTTAAAGGAAGTCTCTTTTTACTGCTTTGGGTATTTGCAGGCTCTGGATTGGTCTTGAATGAAGGAAGACCCCATTGTTGCTGAATTGATGGGCCAAGGCCAACAGTATGAGGTTCAATAAAGCCAAGTGCTGGGACCTGCACTTGTGTCACAACAAACCCATGCAGCAATACAGGACTGGGGAAGAGAGGCTGGAAAACTGCCTAGTGGAAAAGGACCTGGGGGTGATGGTCAACAGCCAGCTGAAAATGAGCCAGCAGTGTGCCCAGGTGGCCAAGAAGGTCAATGGCATCCCGGCCTGTATCAGAAATGGTGTGGCCAGCAAGACCAAGGCAGAGATCATCTCCCTGCACTTGGCACTGCTGAGGCTGCACCTCGAGTACTGTGTTCAGTTCTGGGCTCCTCAATTCAAGAAAGACATTGAGGTGCTGGAGCGTGTTCAGAGAAGGGCAATGAAACTGGGAAAGGGTCAAGAGAGGAAGTCCTAAGAGTAGGGGTGAGGCAGCTGCTGTTGTTTAGCCAGGAGTAAAGGAGGCTCAGGAGAGACCTTATCACTCTCTACAGCTACATGAAAGGAGGTTGTGGCAAGGTGGGGGTCAGCCTCTCCTGCCAGGCAGTTAGTAACAGGACGAGAGGACAGAGCCCCAAACTGCACCAGGGGAGGTTCAGGTTGGATATCAGGAAAGGGCTGTGAAGCACTGTAATCATCTGCCCATAGAGGTGGTAGAGTCACCATCGCTGGAGGTGCTCAGGAAAGGGCTGCACATGGCAGTTAGTGCTGTATTCTAGCTGACCATTGAGTTGGACTCAATGATCTTTGAGTGCTTTTCCAACCTAAATGATTCTGAGATTCCATGATTCTGTTTCCTCCTGCTGCAGTACAGCTTTCTGGCATGCTAGCCAATTAATCCTTCTGAAAATATATTAGAATGAATCTGCAATGTGAAAATAATAAAAAATATTGCCGCTGCAGCCCTGCCAGAGCCTCCTTACCCTGTTTTACCAGCTCTGAATCCCTGTGGCTGCTCAATGTCTACATAGGTGAGAAGGGGGAAGAGCATTAAAACACCCGCTACTTAAATGCCACCTCTTTCACCTGGATATTTCCATCAAAGCCCTTTGGAAAACTGATGTTGTCCATTATTAGTGCTTCTGCAAGAAGCAGAATAAATCTACAGTCAGTGCATCGCAAAATATTTTCCAGTTCCAGTTACTGTGATTCATCTGGCTTCTGGAGGATAAGGACAAACAAGAACCAAAGTTCTTGTTATTGAAGCTTATGCTTCACTGGACCTTGGAACCAGAGCAATGAGATGGCTGGAAGATCAAAACTAAATATAATAGTTAAGGAATTTAGGTCTGTGAGGGCATTATCAGCCACTTTCAGTTCTATTGACTGGAGTATTTCACAAGACTTCTGTGCAAGCTATAAATTGAGACAGGTGAGACACCTTTCACAAACAGCAGCCCTGGACTGGAGGACGTGCCACCAGCTCTCCCATTCCCTGAAGCTGACAACAAGGTGAGAGGCACAATTTTACTTGAAAACTGTAATGGCTTTTTGGGCAGCTGCTGTGAAATGTAGTTGAAGAGAAAGAGGTTTAAGTGCTGGCATGGGAACTGCAGCATGTGTGTGAGGATCTGCTGTCTGTGCCTGCAGAGACTTAACCCATCTTTCAGGTGATGAGAAGACAGCTGCAGGACAAACACACCTTGCCAAGGGAGGGGATGGAGAGGGCCATTGCTACCCAATTCTAAGGGGTGCAAGTGAGAGCATTTTACAAGACCGTCTTGGGCATATACCTGAACCAACATACACGACTGATTAAAACTGGACATTTATGGGTAGATATACCACATTTTACTTCCTTTCCTTCAAACTCACATTTCTATGCTGCGACCTCACTCTTTC